TAAACGTCACAAATCTCTCACATCTCAAAACTCGCTCTCCCTCTTTCTGCTGTCTTTATCTCTCTCGCCGTCACTTCTAAAACTTCCCCCTCTTCCTGAACAATCACATATCATGTTGCCATATCATTTTTTGATTGGTCGATGGTGCATTTTTCCACCAAAATGAACGGGCTGGTTTTTTTTGAGGTTTTTTTAAAAAATATTTTGGTCATAAGCAGAGAGTGCTTGCTAGCGCTGTCCTTAGACAGTAAACATGACGAAACTATTGAGGAAAAAACATATTGTTTATCATGACTCTGGTTTTACCTGGCCTATCAACACAATTTAAAAACTGGCATATATCACCACTTTGGACTCGTGAGTGCATTTGAGAAGAAAGATTTAAATAATAAAGTTTTATCACAAGATACAACATGGATGTGCACTCTGTCACTGACACAGTTGGAAAGGGGACTCTATTATGTATTAGCTGGCACAAGCATCACTTTGTAATTAGAAAACCTTCTATTTTACTGTATCAGCTTCTGGCACCACAGGCCTGTCTGTCCTGCAGTGAAACAGTAGGCTGCACCCTCAGCTAACATTTAACATGTTTTACTTTAATCTTTACTTTCTTTATCTGTGGTTGTTTTAATCACTCTAATAGTTAGCAGCACAAAGTGTAGTAGTTGTCCACCCGGGCTAAAATATCACTTGAATAATAAGTACTGACACCATTCATCTGTTCTCTGGCATTTAGGGAAGCTCACAAGTCCACAACATGGCAATAAAATTCATCAAGACCCTTTTATCCAGGAAAAGGACCCCATAAACATTCCTTTGGCTTGGCCCAGTGTGGCCTAGCTACAGCGGCGCTGGTGCTGTTACACTTTGGCTTGCTGTGGTTGCCCAACTTGGAATATCTAAGAGGTGGAGCTCTGCTTGTAAAGGAGATATGATATTAATCACAAACATTAAGAGACTGGCAGAGAGGGGAGATAGAGAGTCCAACAAAACCTGGAATAAATGAAGGATGATCTGTGAGCAGGAATTCTTCAGTATTTACTTCTCTACAGTCCTTTAATGAAATCATTGCTTTGCCCCGCCATAACTCTGGTGGAGTTGTGTGCGTCCTGTCAGGAATGTCATTGACACAGACTCTGTTATCTGAGGCCGATAACAGAGCAAACAAATGTTGAGAAACAAACACGTATGTAATTGCGTCTGTTGTGTGTGTGTGTGTCTCAACTCCCGTCCTCACATCGATACATGCAAATGCAGACAGGCACAGAAAATCCAACAAATTACAAACTTGTCCTTGAAGAACACATGAAATTGCTATTTTATTCTCATTTTTAGCTAAAGCAAGCATTGATATGTCAAGATATCAAAATATCTGTCTTTTAAATCAAGATCAAGGTTTAGATATACTCAGGGTCATAAGTACTGGTACCATTACTTTTGAGACACTGAAAAGGCGATTATGCATAATAACGGCTGTAAATCCTAAACAGCTGATGCAATACTTTTGATGAACACCTTGAATTAAAGCTGAAAGTCTGCATTTTAATCACATCTTGATTATTTGATTTGCAATCCACTGTGGTGCTGTACAGATGCCCTAAAACCACGTTTCATTGCCTAAATATTGCACAAATCCTGTCTGTGCGTAGTGCATGATGATTGGGATAAAAGCATAGAGGTCTATTGTCCAGTTTATAAAGCAGGAGTACAAAGAACCATTTGGAGAAGCTGTAATCAAATCCGGTCCTTTTCAGCTCTTTCCTCATTCACAAGTTCCCTCCTTACAGGCCAGGTAAGCTCGATCTTTAGAGATCTTTAAAGTCACATAGTGTTTTACACAACTCAAACATACATGTAGTTACTCAGATAATGATGGAAGTTAAACAAAATGTGTAAGCAAAGAACAAACTGGAAATGTCTCAATATAAATTTAGCACAGAAAGTGGAAAGTAAACTTTGTTTGGTTGATTGTTTCTTTCTTGTAACAATGCTTCTTGGAAATAATCTTATAACATTGGAAAACCTTTTTATTTCCCCTTAAATGCTGCCACATTTGTAAAATAACAAATAAAAACAAACACCTTTGTGGGTAGAGCAGCAGAGTTGAGTATGTGTGTTGCACCCATGACTCTCTGCCTCGCCAAATAGGTTATTCTGGTTCTGAACTCGAACTGGAGTAGATGTTTGAAGTCATTTTTCCAGTGAGGGCGAAGTCGCTGCACACCCTCACACTGCCTCCACCAAAACCTGTTTCCTTATCAGTGAAGCAGTCTGCATAGTATTCTATGCATCTCCTACACACTTTAACCCTCAGATCCATTTGCTGTAGACAGACTCTGGACACATCAGGGTCCATACTGGTGCTGCTAATTGGGCACCTTATTGTCAGCTCCTGGGGAACCAGAAACTCAATTTATCAGAATAAGCTGTTTGGCATTGGCAGAAAAAAGCTAGTATTCCAGGGGCGCAACCCACATACTGGTCTCTGCTGCTTAACCCATAAATGATTTTCCTTACAGATTATATTTTTGTCATTTTCTAATTTCTAGTTGACTGAGGAGGATGGAGGACAGAGAGATTGTACAAGAACAAGAAGAACGAATAGTGAAGTCAGCTAGAAAAGCAAAAGTTATCATTCACAAAGTAGTTTTCATGTATTTCATGGAGGTAGCACACTTAAAAAAACACCAGTGGACATTCTAAAAAGAGCATATTGGTATGAATGGCAGCATTTTACAGGATTCAGACCACTCTGAACACGGCTG